ATCGTTATGTATATATATATATATATATATATATATATATACTTTTCTTGCGGCTTCATTTAGAAAAGTAAAGTTTCTCGACATCGCTCACGGATCCCTCACTCCGCATGTCCACAGCACATGATTATGGAGACGACATAGCACCACAACACTACACAAAGAAGAGAACAAGGAAAAACAACAACAAAAAACGGCATGACGTGTCACCCAAGTGTTTCCTTCCACTTGAGTTATCGCCACATCCACCTTACGCACCCACACCTCCCACCCTACTCGAATCACACATGCGCAGCGACCCAAGTAAGACGGCCAAACACAAAACTAACCCCACTGAACATTTCTAAGTACAGTAGAGAGGCAAGGACAGCTTTGCTGCCGGAACAGCGCCGAGGCCATCGACATCCTTTAGCGTAGACGGCGACACACCATAAACAAACTCGCGACTCGCGACCACCTCGTCAAAGTTCGACTTTGCTAAGTCACTCTCGGTTATGCCAAACATCGTCGGTACCAACAGCATCTTCGCCTCCAACAGTTTTGATGAAAGCAGCATCATGTGGTCCACCTTCGCCATGCCGGCGATACTGGTAAAGAGGGAAAACACCACCTCTGCCGCAAAGGTTTTGTCACCGGTGCCCTTACGGGCGTCACGCCGGCGAAACACGACCAGGTCCGTCACGGCGCCCTGCGCGTCCGTGCGCACGTAGGTGTGATGATCTGGGTGGCCCAGGTAGCTGTTTCGCAGCTCCGCCACGTCCTGCGGCACACAGGCCAGTTCAACATTCGACTCCGGCGTCCCCGCTTTCGCTGCCATAAAGTTCACCACCAACGCACACTGATCGTCCGACGCGGGATCGACGTCGCACCAGCGCGGCATCTCCGCCGCGTACTCCTCAAAGAGGGATGTGGGAATCGCCCCTTTCAGCACCGCATCTGCGCGGAGCACCGCGTCGTAGTTGTAAAAATCTGGAAACACGTCGTAGGCGCTGTCTGACGCATACACGCTGACGGCGTCGAAGACACGGCGGTACCACTTAATTGTGGCAATCGATGTGGGCGGGCGCGGCAGCTGCGTGCCGGAGGCAAAAAACACGATGGCGTTCGCCGCCGCGCCGGCCGCCTCGTCGCAGAGACGCGTGCGTAAGGCGTGCAGCAGGCTGGCAGCTACACCAGCCCGACGTGCGGTGCCCAGCACCCCCAGATGGGCCGCCATCGTCACCTTCACCGGCGTGTCACCGACCTTCTTGATCCTCAACGCAGCGGGCCCTTTTAAGGTGGCGTGCGCTAACATCTGCGCCACGATAATGCCGGCCGTGGTGGCCGTCGCACCGGATGGGCCGTCCCCGCTGCTTATATGGCGAACGATTTGCCAGTGCCTGCACGGCGCGTGCGAGCCGCGAGTCACCGGCAGCAGCCAGTCCAGCCGGCCGTGCCGATCTAACGCGTTTACCTCCGCCGTCACGCTCGCTGCCTCCTCGGCGGACATGTCCGCTCCGCTGCTGCACTGCAGTGAGGTGGCGGCACTCGACGGCGCAGTCGCCGTGGCCGACCAGAAGCTACGCACGCCGGACGCCTCCACCGGCTTCGGCACGGGCTTGCTCAAGACAAACTTCGGTGGTGCTGGCGCGTGGGCGTGCAGCACGCTCTCCAACGTCTTCGCGACGTGCGGATCGGCCAGCGAGGCATCGGCGTGGCGGGTCGCCGTAGCCGCCGCCACGAGCGCGGCCACCACTTCGTCTGTTTCCACGTTGTCGTGCCCGTTCAACACGGCTACATCAAGCGGCGTCAGCTGCCGCTCGTCCGCCACGTACGGCACGCGCAGATCGTTTGTCAGCTTCCGGATGAGAGCCGCCGCCCCGGCATCGGCGGCGTAGTGCAGGGCGTTGCGGCCACGGTTGTCCACGAAGGTCTTCCAGTCGACCCCGCTGGCGGAACCGAAGTCAAGCATGGAGCTGCCGTCGCCCATCTTGGCCAGGCGTAGCACCTCGAAGTCGCCGAGTTCGTGTGGGCGCTGCGAGGTCTTGTCAGTCGCGACGACGTCGACGCCCTCGTCTGCGTGGCGGGTGGCGCTGACCTGCGTCACCGAGGCCGCGTTGCGCTCGTACAGGGAAACCTGCCGATGCGACGGCATTTGTGGTTGGTGCTGCGCTTGTTGCTGCCGCTGCACGGCAAGCATGCGCAGAAACTCCTCCTCGAACTGCTGCCGGCCCAGGTCAAATGTGTCTTCCTCTTCTTCCTCGTCGTCATCGTCGTAGCCGTAGCCCGTCTGCGGTGCGTACTGTTGCCTGTTGTTCTGCGGTGCGTTCTGCTGCCATTGCTGCTGGGTGGGCGCGGGTGGGTTACCGCCCGTGGGAGCACTGCGGCTTGGATTCGCCGCACCCCTGCCTGTTGCGGCTGCTTGCGCAGCACGCAGTTCTGCCAAACGCCGCTCGAGCGCCGCTCGCTGCTCGTTGTTCATCGGTGTACCGCTCATGCTTATGAGATTGGATTTCCGTGTTGTATACGAAACGTTTAAGGCGGTAGAGTAGTGGCTCAATGAATGATCGTCCTTTTTTCTTTTCTTCTTCTTTCCCTTCCCTTTTTCCCTTACAATTGTAGTTTGAGCGAAGAGGTTAACGGGGCGGAAATGAATGAGGGACGAACTCAACGAATACTCCAGCTGAAAGCCGCAAAAAAAAAAAAGGAAAACGAAAGGAAAAAATAAGGAGGAGAACAAAGCTGTGGGTTTTTTGTTGATGTGAAGGAGGGAGGGAGGGACGCCTTTTAATTGGAGCCTCGGTCTATCAACTTCATCTGCCCTGACATACAAAAATGGCGCATGACTGCGATGCGTATCTCAACACAAAGCTGCCAGCTATACTGATGAACGTTGAAGAAGAAGAGGAGGAAAAGGAAAGCAGTGTGAATACGTCTTTTCAATTTTTTTTTAAACCACGCTAAGAACAATTTAAATAGAGATGCTGGCCATCGCGCGTTCTGCAAACACACCCACACACCTGACGTCGAGGAGACGATACTCTTTCTGTGAGGAACAACAAAAAACAACAGCAACAACCAAAATCACAAAATAATCATTACCACAAATGCGAGGTTCGAACATCCATCTCTCTTTTAATGAGTAGCCACGCGGGAGCTGGCGCTGGTGCTGGAGGTAGCGTTCTCCGTCACCGAGGATGTCGCAGAGGGATCGACGTACGGCACGTACTCCGGGGAGGGGTTGGGCTTCACAAAAACCATTACAAGATTCAGACCAATGAGCAGCAGAGCTGCACCGAGTGAGTAGGCGTAGACCAACGGCCAGTTCGTGAACTTGTCCTCCTCGATCAGCCGCTTCTCTATCGCCTCCTGCTCACGGTACTTCACAAACTCGCTGCCTAGCTTTACACCACCGCGGAACTGTCGCCTCACCTCTTCCTTCTCCGGACTCCGCCACTTGTGTACGTCGCTGGAGTGCTCAATGTGCACCGCGCGAAAGGAAGTCCGCAGCGAGGATGCGCAATGCAAGAGAGAAAAATACGTGCTGTGTACCTTTTTGACGCAACGAGGCGGAGCGAAAAAAGAAGAAGAAGAGGCGAGGACGCCACGCGGAGAGCCACACCACTTCACCATCCTATATGTGAAAAAAGATAGAAAGAAAGAAAAGTCTGCACGGTTGCGACCAAATGAGATGTGGGTTTTATTTTTTTCTTCTTCTTCTAGCCGACTTCTTATGGCATGCCAGGATCGGACGTCTCAGCCCTAGCAGTGCTACGGGAGAGCTCGGTTGAACGGCAGAAGGGAATGAAATGATTGACGAAGTGGTGCGCCGTTGAGGACGAGAAAGGTGGGAAACAATCACAAAACACCTGCACATCGTCATGACGAAGCCGACTGTGAAGGAGAACTACGCAGGCAACCACTAATGACGTTTTTATTTTTATTAGGAGGGTACAAAAACCGTGTCCCAGAGAGGTCAAAGGCTCCTCATGGGGAGAAAAAGCGTTGCGGCTAACGATTGGCGGCGCGCGACGCCTCCGCTGCAACGCCCCCTCTTTTTCTCTCTCTCTTATTCGTTCTTGAGTTGTTGAAGGAGCACTCGCACACACATACCCCTCCTCTCCCCCCCCCACACACACACAAAAGCGACGACCGCCAAGGCAAACAAAAATGCAGCTGATTGTACACGTCAGAAGTCCATCGTACCTTTGATCTTCCGCTCCGCGATGCGGGACCCAAACTGGATCGCACGCTTCTGCAGGTGCGTCACGTCATTCAGTCCCAGCACACTCGCCACACGGCGCAGCACCCGCTTATCCCCGTCGCCCGGTGGAAGACGAAAACTCACGATGGGCTCCAATGCAAGGCGCAGGAGTTCGTCGTGCGTCAACGGCGCAGCCACGGCGGCCGCACTATTGATGCTGCTGCTACTGCTGCCGCCGTTGTCTCCCGCAGCCCCGCTGCGACACGCCGTCCCGGTGGCAAGCGAAGACGTCGGTGCACCAGGCAGCGACGTCCCACCATTTCCAACGCCCCCGCGGCGGCCGCTCTCACAGGCGCCACGAAGATGCTCCTGCGACACCAGGATGTTATTGCGCCGCTTCAGTATAATCCACTCCAGCGTACGCAGGACGCCTTCATCCAGAAATGGAAAGCGCGGCTCGCGTCCGCTGTCCATAGTAACCCGATCGTCTCGGCCGAGGTTACGCTGCCACAGGCGCGCAAAGTCACGTTCCAGCTCGCGCTGTGCGCCGACCATGCCCTCGCGCTGGAAGAAACGACGGTAGCGGGTGTACCCGCCGAGGGTCTCATCAGCGCCCATCCCGAGCAGCAGCACCTTCGCGTGCGACGCGTAGGATTGGAAAAACGTCCCCGGGAAGGGCAGCGCCGGCTGCCGCACGCCGCTCGCATTGAGGGTCGGTTCCTGTGCCTGCATGTACACCGTTGTGAACCACGGGCTCGGCCGCACTGCTGCCGCTCTCTCCATATCCGCTGCCCGGCAAAGCCGCACCGCTTTCGAAAGGGCGTCCGGCACAAACTTAATATACCCCGCCTTCGCCGCGTCGTTCAGAAAGCCGCCCAGCTTTTTGTAACCGTAGCGCTTGATGTGCGGTTGCAAAAAGAGGCTGTACTCCTTGCCCAGTGTGGAGAGCAGCACGGGCGTCAGCGGGCCACCGCCGCTGCGGCCCTCCTTCACCAACACGTCCACCAGAATTTGATACTTCTGGGTATTTGCCACCTCCTCTGCGCCTTGAGCGCCGAAGGGCAGCGATGCGCTTGTTGCGGTCGTGACGCCACAGCGTGGGCTGGGGGTCGGCGCAGCTGAGGTCACCACGGCGCTCGCGTTGGCCGAAGACGAGGCAGTGGGGCCAGGAAAGGGCGCATCGGCTGGACCTGCCCCGTCCCACGGTCCACCCGCACCCGCCGCCGTGGCACCGGCGTAGGCCCGGAAGTGCTTCGAAAAGCCGTCCAGCGTCACCCTCGGACTACCTCGTACTCCCCCAACGTGCAGCGCGGTGAGCGACGTGGAGGTCGTCGTCGTTGCCGTCGTGGGGCTTCCCGTTGCCGTCATCGGCAGTGTGCCATCGGAGGAATCTCCGCCCGCCGCCGCCGCCCCGTCCACGTCACTGCGCTTCAAGATTTGCATCCGACCGGTTGCGCGGGCGGCGTGCCACAACGCCGTGCCAATGTCGAGATCCATCACAGTGTGCTGCGGCACCAGCAAGTCCTTGATATGCGCGCTATCCAACGTTGCTTTCGACGGGACATCCACCAGCACCAGCCGCCACTCCCGTTCCGCCGTCGCGGCCGCGTCCGTCGCATCGCCGCTGCTGCGGGAGGTGCTCAGCAATGGCAGGCGCAAGAGCTCCTCCGTTGAGCGGAAGGCCGCGATGCGGTCCGGCGCCTCCGCGGGGTTGTCGCCAAACGCCACGTTCACGAGCTCAATCGGCGTCTCGACCGGCAGAATGTAATGTGCCAGCGCCGCAATCACCGTGCAGTCGATGCCGCCCGAAAAGAGGATGCACAAGGGGCGGCGGCGAGCTGTTGAGAGCTCCTGTGCGTCCCGCCCGTCCGCCGCGCCGGAGTTGGCGACGGTGATGCGGCGGTGCATGGACACGGCGAGGGCCAGCATGTAATGTGCCGCTGCCCAGTCCACCCAACTTTGGATGAGCCCTCCGTCGGGCTGCATGCTCTTCATGAGGTGGCTCGCCCACCGCAGCAGCGGCTCCGGCAGCACGGCGATCTCCTCGTGGGCGAGGACGAGCTCGAACGGCGGGGGCTCGTGCGGCACCATCGGTAGCGTTGCCGTCCGCAGCAGCGGGTGGACAAGGTGATAGGTGTGATGCCAGGGACAATGCAGTAGCAGCACGTTCGCCCCACACACCATCGTCGCACCACCGGCGTTGTCTATCGAATCTCTCGCCGTCGAAGAGACGCACACAGGGTGGAGTCGATCGGCGCCGGTGGTGCTAGGGACACCTCCGCTTTCCTTCACGCCAGCTCCGTCGTGCGGGTGGAAGGCGGCAAGGTCGCCATAGATCAGCGGCGCTTGCAGCGGGACGGCAAACAGCCCTGTGACGCCTACTTCCTGCCAACATACCTCCTGTTGTCCCTCCACTCCACACGTGGCACCCTCTGCAGCACCGCCAACCTCCTCACCATCCTCTTCCTCATCCACGGCAGCGGCCGCCGCTGACGCCGCAACAGCATCCATATTTGCCGCGCCCTTTGACATCGCGGTGCGCTTCTCATGTCGTGGGCGCTTGTTGTAAGAGCGGGCATGGAACCCGGGCGCCGCAGCTGTGATCGTGATGGCAGTGGTGCCCGGTGACTCTTCCGCTTGCTCATCTAAAAGGGCGCCGCTACTCTCTATATGGACTGTGGAAAGGGCGGAAGACGACGACAACGGTGCATCTCCCTCTCTCCCCTTCGAATTGCCCTCTGTGCCGTCGTGTATGTGCGACGGCGTCGTGGGTGTAGGGGGTCGATTCCGCTCTTCCGTCTTGCTTCCTTCCCGTTCCTTGCAGGCACCTGGGTGGTGGTGTTGGACGCCAACGGAGGAGACAATCAGCTCTACGTCCAACTCCTCCGCCGCGACGCCACCGCTGATGGGCCGCGTGACGCGCACGTGCGAGAGGAGGGAATGACGACCGAGCGGATCCCGCCCAAATACGGCGAGACGCAGCCGCGTAGCGAGGAAGATAAACGAGTACGGTCCCTCCACCTGTTGCTCAAACAACATCGTGCACTTGCGCAAGAAGGCACGCTGACGCTCCACCAGGGGGAGCAGAACGGGCTGCGGATGTGCCTCGTCGTCGCCTCTGCTTGTCCCTACTGCGTCGTCGACGGTGAGGCGTACGCACTCCAGTTCCATCTGCGAGAGCCGCGTCGCCAGCAGCACTGTGTCCGAGCCCCACGGGGGCGGGCACAGCGAGCCACCAAAGATTTCGCCGTTCCACATCAATGACGAGCGAAAGTCCCACGAGTTAGCCTGGCGGTCGTCCTCAGCGTCCGTCGCGACGTTCATGTCATAGGGCTGTGCGACGGTGGAGTGACCACGCAGGCCGAGTACCGACGCCACGCCCGCCACTTCCGTCCGCAGCGCTACCGCGCCGTTCGCCAATGACGACAACGAAGAGGGGGACGAGCCAACGCTGCCGTGTTGACCCTCGTACGTCTTGGCCTGCAAGAGAGCTGGCAGATGACGATCAGCAAGGGTGTGACACGAGGTCACAAACGAACGCCGCGTCATGCCGTACGTGTCGGGACCGCGTCGCCGCAGGTTTCGAATGAGCTCCGTCAAGAGGTCGTTGGCTGCGTCGGAGTTGCTGAGGAAACTCTTCACATCCAGTCCAGCGACGGCGCAGGTGCACGGGGTCAAGCGGCACGCGTCGGGAGACGTAGGCACCAGTGCACAGGACTGTGCATCCACTTGCTCCTCAACGGGAAGCGTAGAGGGTGCTGGTGGTAGCGGCGACGTTCCGTGAGCCGTCCTGTACGAAGACGACGTGGACCTCTCTTTCGCGCCACTTTCCTGTGCACGGGCAGTTATGGCCATTTTTTGGCGAATTAAGAGGCAAATACCACACATCGTGCGGCAGTTGAAGAGGAGCGAATACTAGGATCAACAATGATAAGCTGCTCGAGCGGTGAAGGCGAATCTGATTGGCGGTTGCTCCAGCGCCGTTTCGTATGGAGGCCACAACGGATTTCCGTAAAGAGTTTGAAAACGAGCGAATGCGATGTACGATGTGAAGCGCAGCAACGACGTCGAGAAGATGCCAGAGTTGTCTACGACCCAGAAAAAAAATGGTGTAAAAAAAACAAAACAAATCAATTATGGGTTAAAAAAAAATCAACAACTCCCAAAACGTTACCCACGCAGCAAAACAGTGAGCTTTCTTCTTTTAAGCGATGTTGCGGGCACGCGACAGCTCGCACAGCTCAAAAGAAAAAAAAAGAGAGTGAAGAGGGTGGAAAGATGTGGATAGTGTAGTCTTCTTCAATCAAAAGGCGTCGTCCTGTTGGGGTGACAGGCCGGAATAGAGCTCCACACGCATTTGCATACTTCATTAATAGTAATAATAATAAAACAAAACGAGAGAAGGTGAGTTAGTGAGACTTTTGAAGGATGCACTCCGAGCTTCACCAGCTTGCGTTGCGCGGTTGAGGTTTTTGGATTATGGAGACTCAGCAGGCATCGAATTCAACTACTGTTCGAGCTGAAATGCAGCTGAACCTACCAATGAGAATAAATAATAATAATCCACTTCAGCTGACTGTAACAAAGGAACATACACATACACATACACCACATGTGCAGCTTATTTCCTCGTAGAGCGAGGTTAGCTGGAATCCCAGTACCCACGACTTGGACGTGTTTACGCCGATGTGTGTTCGGCACGAGGAGGACATGGGCCGCGTGGTCCTGCGCAGTTGCAGCTTCCGCCATAAGATGGCGGCCATAGTCCAGGTACCGCTGCAGCGTCGCTACTCGCATATGCCCCGTCAAACGTAGGGCTTCGCTGTCTGTCGCTGCGTCATCCGCCAAGCAGCTCGTCGCGCCCCTGCACACTGAGGAGAGTGCCGCTGTGGGGTTGAACTGCCGCATGGCCGCTCGCATCGTGTCTTTGAGGGGGCCCAGGGGGAAGAAGAGGAGCTGGCTGGAGCCATGTTTCGCCAGCAACTTCTGCAGAACTGAAGCGTCCGCGCGCAGGAGCCGCGACGCCAATGTGTAAGGTCCGTGAAATCGGACTCGCTCCCCGCGTCGAGCCGTCCAGCCCACCCTGCTCGTCATCTCCGCCTCGTTTGTTGTCGGGTTGAAGTGGACGTCCCGTGCCTTCCACTGGCTGAATATCGACGCCCTCACGCGTGTTGAAACCTAAGCGTGCGGAGCGCATAGCGAGTGCCTGTGCCGAGAGTGAGCGTTCCACTCCATCGAACATCGATGTCAAGGCGGTCGCTGCGAGCCTGTACCGTAGGCCGCGTCTGGCACATGCGGCATCGGCTTCTCCAGCTCGTCCCACCCAGTCTTCGGCGCTACGCCGCTGGATGGAACTCCCTTCAAGAGGAACAGTCTCTTGTTGCGCCGGCTGAGTTTCAAGCATCCCTCTCATCCGCCTCCGGCAGCTTTCGTGCGGTGACAGCGCCTTCGCAGGGTCGCGTAGCGCTTACTGTAAGCGCCGCGTCACCGATCCCGGGTGAGCCACACTCGGGCCGAGGCGAGCAGCGCAAAAAGTCGCTAAATGAAAAAGCCGCAGCGGCCGCTGTGTCTTCGTTAACGAGTGCACTGTCCCTGGGCAACGCTGAGCGATGGCCACGGCTCCCCCAAGGCCTTCCTAAGGCTCTCCTCAGATCCTTGTGCACCGATTCCGAAGGTGGGAATCGGATATCTCCAGGCGGGTTGAGCCGTTGTCGGCCACCTCCAGGAGACGCGCGATCCAATGAAGCCGGAGAACAGGCGGGAAATAAGGTCTCCTTGTCTGCTGCAAGGATTTCTCGACACGGCTTACCGGTGAACTCTATAACGAAGGCAGCGTGTCGCGCCGCAGCAGGGCCCTCGCGTGCGTGTAGTGCCGCGGAGTCCGACGGGGCACAGCACTACTTGCTGCACACGCGGCAACACTTCCGCCCTCTAGCACCGCACCTCCCGTCCGAAGGCAGTTGACGGGTGTGGCGCGAAGGCTGCTCGCACTCTGGAGCGCTAGACGGCTTCGGCTCCTCAGCCACCCTTCCGTTACGGCAGTGCAACCTCCGCTCGCCCGCTGTCCGCTGTCCCCACGACCGTACCGCTGACCGCGTCCGCTTCCCCCACCTTCACCGGACGCTGCGTGTGGGTGTGGCGTGGCGGTGAGATGCCGGAGCCCGCCGGTTACTCGGCAACGGAGGCTGTCGGTCTGCGTCCCGTCGACGGCCGCAAGTTGTTCCCCTCAGCGACGTAGATCGGCGCGGGGTAGCGGCCCCCCTCCAGAAGATCGGTGGTGGTGCTGGCGTGGGGGCTCCTAAGCGGCGACCCGTCCTCGCGCAACTCGCCCCCCCTGCAGGCTGGCTCCTGCGTACGATGCTCCGCACGCCTTGCTTGAGGGGAGGGATTGCCGCGTACGGCGGGAAGAGCGGCATCGGGAGCTTCTCGATGCTTCCGTCGAGCAGGCGCCGCCTCGACGAGCCCGCACTCCTGGCAAGCCTGATGGTTGTGGCACCGCATCGTCCCCTCCTGTGGGCCGATGAGGAGAAGTTTCATGCGGCAGCCTCGGCCACACTCCCTGTCAGGCGTGCACCGTTGTGCAGAGGCAAGAAAGGAGCACCGTCGGTGGAAGCCGCTTCAGCCCCCGCCCAGCCGATGAACCTCCCCGTCAGCTGCGCGTCTGTCAGGCCTCCCACGTCGTGCCACCACAGCGCCGCGTCCCTGATGCTTCGCATTCAAGAGAGTTGTGCCGCAGTTCGGATTGCACGGTCAGGGAGGTGGCAGCGTCCGTTGCCGTCGCACCCGCCCCCGTCGCGGCCTCCACCAGCCGTTCCACGGACGCTTCACTGTCGGCTTTCCGTCGCCGAGCTTCTTCGTGGCGTTCTTCACCTCAATGTACAGAAGGAGCTGACGTCCTGTCTCATGAGACGAGGGGCTCGCCCCCTCTGAAAGCAGAAACTCCCAACGTCGGGAGAGCAGTGCCGGTGGAAGCCCGGTGAGAACACCGTGAGCAATGATGAAAGCGGGCGATGGCTTTAGGAAACAAGAGAGGACTGTACGCCTTCCATCGCCAGACGGAAAACAGGAGGATGTGAACAGAGGAGGCGAAGAGGGAGAACGGTGCTGGAGGATGCGGGGGAGAGCAAAGCAAGAGGGGCGGCCGGAAAGGCAGAACAAACACAACGCGGTCCGCTCGCCGTCGATGTTGTGGGACATGGGCAGAAAAGGGCGGCCGGCAGCAGCGGCCCCTCCCATGTGCGGCTTCCCCGCTTGCGTACTTATCCCAGTTAGAGGCATGAATACCTCGCGATACACCCGCGCGTCTTGACACACTCCTACTAAGAGAATGAACACTTCACCTTGCCATGAGGCACCCATCCAAAAGCAAGACAAACAAAGGCACACGCACACACACACACACACACACAACAGCGCGCGTGGAGAGGTGGATACTATTGTTTCAATTGTTTTCTTTCGAAGATCAGCGCCAAGAGGAATGCCTTTAATAGTATATATAGATATTCAATCGTTCTTCACCCGCCCTGTAACCCCACCTTCTTCCGTTCTCATTCTTTGCTATTTTCAGCCTCACAGCTGCTTCCAGTCCAACGGCGAGAAGGAGAGGAGGAAAGGAGAGAAGAAGGCGTCGACTGCTTCCACGCTGTGTAGTGTGCGGAAATAGCAGGCTCCCCATTTGCCTTTTTTGATATAAAGAAAACAAAATACACTACGGTGACGTTTGCGGATCCGTTCTGCATCAGTGCTCACGTCCATGATCCAGTAGTGCGGATGGAGTGGGGGAAACAGAGGGCGCCGCCGCCCACGAGAGCTTGGGGGAGACTCGACAGGGGAAAGGAAGGAACTCACTAATCTGATTCCCTCACAAAAGGTGCGGTTCACCGCCACACGCCCACCTTCTCCTTCGCCGCCAGTTTCGAAACTTGGGTGGATCGCTGCGAGCTGTTTGGCAAGGGCAGGCGGAGCAGCGCTGCGTTCTCGTCAGGTCTGTCCGCTAGCAGAGCAAGACAAGCCGTGATCCACTTCAGAACTCGAGACAACACGTGCGAGAGAGCGACAAAAGAGAAAAGGTAAGGTGAATGCGTGCGGACGAGTGAAAGCACTGCTGCACGGAGGGTCTCGAGGACAGGGAAAAAAGCCGCTTCTCCGAATAAACAAAAGACGAAGTAGAAATGAAATAAACTGGGAGAGGGTGTTGTTAGCGTACGCCCGTGCAGGTGAACTTAAATACATTGAAAGAAAAAACCAGTAGTCCTTTCTTCTTATCATTCCGCAGAGGAGGAGATGATGATTCTCATGGAACACCTCCTGCACTTACAAGGCGGAACGGAAAAGAAAAAGTAAAAGCATTTCAGCGCCGTCGTGTCTTCAGTTGCCTCGCAAGCGAAAATCATTTCCCGAGATGTGGCGTTCATTCAGCGCGTATTGAGTCGCCCTTCCTCGTGCAAAGAAGAAAAAGGGATCACCCTTTGGAATGGAGAAACACGCTGACAGAAGACGCATCACGTAGAGGAACAGTGGAAAGGAAGCAACGACGCGTACCACTGCAGATGGCCCGCTTGTGCAGATTAGCATACTTCGGTAAGGAAAACCCAAAGAGAGAAAAAAACGGGAGAGACGAAAATGGCAAAACAAGAAGAAAGAAAAAATACATGTTTTTTCCTTTTTTGTTTTTGTGGCTCATCGTGCTAGCGATCAAACGAAAACAAACGTTATTACGGTTAGGTTCTTCCTTTCTCTGGCCCTTGAACACCACAAACAGACGCCCATCATTTTTTCTTTCTCATATGCATATGCTGTAGCTATTGAGAGAGAGAGGAAAAAGAAACGCTTCAGGTCAGCCGAGAAGACAGGTGGAAGAGGAACACACAAACACTTAGAAAAGCTAAACGAAGATAGATTTACGAGCTTATCGTTGCTACGGGAAACCAACAGGAAGATATTAATGATAATCACCATAATAATGAAAAACAGGCGTTTACGCTGTCCGCCGCGGTACAGGACAGCACGCTTAATGGCGAAAAAAGAAAAACAGAAAAACAAGGTGTGGAGACACACCATGTGTCTTGAGCAAGAAACAAACCAGAAAACAAAAAGAAACAGAACAATAGATCCAAATATGGCGTACACGCGAAAATGAATGGAAAAAAAAATGATCAGCTTTTTGGCACTTTCCACCGACAGACGAGAGGGAGAAAATAAGAAGCAGAGACAGAAAGCAAAAGCCTTTCAAAATCAGGACCACACCTATAAAGGTTGCGTGTGGTTCCCTCCTTCCCTCCTCCTCCTTGTCTCTTTCTCTCGCCTTAATTATCGAGTTGTTCTGGTTGGAAGTGACCAAAGCGGTAGATGTCATTTTGTCGTTTTCTGTCCTCTGAACGTCATCCCCGTATTAATTGAAATGAATAGTAACAACAATAAAACCTGTCGTTACACAATCAGCTTAGGATAAGAAGATATTCAAAAAAGACGGCTTTTTTTAAAGCACTGTGCAACCAATACCCCTCCTTTTCAACGGAGACCATTTTTAGCTCAAAGGAGGGGAAAAGAAAGGGGAGAGGGAGAGAACCGCGGAGGTGAAACAGAGAAAACAAAAAGCAGCCGATGGACACTCTCAGCGCATCTACTGACGAGACTCTGAGCTCTCCTCGATGGGCATGCGGTCCGGCAGCGTCTCCACAGGGGCGGCCTCCGCAGCCGTCATCTCCTGCGCTTGCTTCGCCCGCTCACGCACCACGAACCGGCTGAAGCGGAGGTGCACGAGAATGGCAGCCGCTGTGGAGAGGACGTTCACTGCCATCAGAATAAACATCTGGCTGCGCACGCACGACCGCTGGTTGCAATTGGGCAGCGTGTTGAGCCGCCTCGCCTCGTTGTCGTACATGGTGCCGAACATGAAGCGATTCAAGGCGATGGTGCAGACGAAGCCGGAGGAGAACATGAAGTTGTAGTGCTTGCCGATGTCATTGGCGTAGACGATGCGGACGCAGAGGGCGCCGAGGCCCCAGCCCATGCCGGTGCCGATGGCGCCCAGCAGGAAAGGGAGGATGAGACCGTTGGCCGGCATCACCGCGAAAAAGAGGTAGGCGACAAATAACAGGATGGAGCTGACCGGGAAGAAGGTCGTAGTGAGGATCTCCTTCTTGCCGTCGCGCTTGCGCATCGTCATGTACATATCCAGAACACCGGACACCACCCGACCAATAGCGCTGCCCACACCGATAAGCGCGACGTACAGCGTCAGTCGGGACTGGTCGTACACGCCGCCGTTGATACTGCGGTACATCTGCGCCGCGTTCATCTGCATCACCGTACCGGTGCCCCACATGCCAAAGAAGCAGATCCAGAAAAGCCAGATATCAATTGTCAGCAGGTTGTGCCAGAAGGTGGTCGTGTACTGCGGATCGCCGACGG